TGGGGAGCAGACAAGGAAGCAGCACAGCTGAGATGTGATGGGGGCACAGGAGGGGTTAGGGGACAAAGGGGCTAGGGAGCCTTCAGTGGCATATTCCAGGCAGAATGGAACCATCTTCACAGCAGCTGCTAACACATATGAGCCCTGCCTGTATGCCAGGCACCAGAAAGCAGATACTTTTCTTGTCCCCATTTTATCAAACTCAGGGAAGAAGTAACTTGCAACCAGCAAGTGGCTGAGCTGGGATTTCAAATTCAGCCAGTCTGATACCAAAGCTCCCCTCTTAACAGCTTGGATGAACCCAGAGGTGAGAGAAGCAGGTTATTTGGAGACCCACAAGCAGTTGATTGTGGCTGGAGCGTAGCGTGTGAAGGGAAAGTTGGTCCAAGGGGCTAGCTAGCAGAGAGAGGTAACACTGTGGAGCGTCCCGCAGCCATGGTTACTGCTTGAAGGCAGCGAGCCTTGCCGCAGGGAGATCATTTCAGGGCTATTTCAGTAGTTTCAGCAAGCAGTGGCAGTGCGTCTCACTGGGAGGTGGTAGTGAGAATAAAGGACAATGGCAGGACTCAAGGGTGATCTGGGAAGAATGGATAGGGCTTACTGATTGGCTAGAGATGAGGGATGGGGGGAAAGAGAGAGGAGAGTCACGAATGACTCAGATTTCTGGCTTGAGAACTGGATGGATGGTATCAACCCTATTTCTTTCTCCAATTTGCTATGTATCCTTGGGGATCTCGCCCAGGCTCTCTAGATGTCTGTCTTCCTAGCTCTAAAATGAAGATAATGAAACCCGACCTCCCCATGTATCCAGATGGTGTCAAGATAAGATGAAGTCATCAATCTGGAAGTGCTTTGGAAAGTCAAAAGTACTTTGCAAATGTAAGTGGTTATTATTTTATGGTTATTGTTAAGGTCTTCCCCCTCTTGGGGCTTGCAGATGGAGCCAGACTGAAAGACAACCCAGGGGAGCTGCCCGCTCACTCAGAGGAGTCGCTGTATTTTCCATCAGACGGATCTGTCTTTTTGGCAGGTAGGAGCCTCGTTCCCACGTACTAAATTGCTAATAGCTTCCCTGGGGAGCTCCTTTCTGCTCTGACTCCTTCTGTGATTTCTGTTTCTCCACTGCTGACATCTTCTGATGCCCCCGGTGGGCCTGGGATTTCCCATGCGTTTATGTTTATGTTTTTATTTTTGTCTTTTCCCTGAAGTCAAGGATGGGGACAAGCCCCAAGCAAAGCCCGTGTTACCATTCTGTAACCTGGCTGTGGAGGCCTGTGTCTGCTCTGTGCTTGACCAGCAGCAGGGACGAACTCAAGGGGAAAGCTGTGCCAAGCAGAGGCAGGAGCAATGGGTTCTTGTGCTTTATGGGGGTGGTTTTCTAGTCTTTGCTCTGAGAAGCAATGTAGTGCGGTAATCAGGAGACTGGCTTTTGGAGTGGCATCCCAGCGGTGGCTCAGTCAGGTAAACTAACCTCTGCAAAATGGAATTATAAAAGTAGGACCTCACACCTCTAGGGCTGATGAGGATGAAAGGAGATAACCCACAAAGCACTTGGCCCAGCGCCTGCCACATAGCAAGCTCTCTATAGATGATAGCCAGCAGGAGCATTATGAGTTGTGACCACAGAATAAGCCTGCCTTTTTAAGTTAAATAGACAGGAATGTTCACATCCAAGGGTTGATCTCTTCAAGGTGTTCACGTTGGGATGCTATTGGGGAACCCCCTTTAGATGCCTTTCAAGTTTCCACTCATTCTTCTGAAGTGTCCTCAATGGGGGCAATGGACACACACTTGGCACGTGTCTTAGCCTGGGCTGCTATAACAAAGTACCATAGACTTGAGTGGCTTATAAACAACAGAACTTTATTTCTCACAGTTCCGGACACCGGAAGTCCAAGATCAGGGTGCCAGTACAGGCGGGCCCCAGTGAGGGCTTTCTTCTGGGTTGCAGTAGGCTGACTACTTGTTCTGTCCAGAGCAGAGACAGCAAGCAAACTCTTAAAAAGGGCTGGCTATCATAGCATATGTGGGTTTTGGGGTTTTTTTGGCAATTATGATATTTCAAGTCATGTCCTTGGTCATTTACATATCTTTCACAGCTTCTTGACTATGAGCTCCTTTCAGAGAGCGGTGGTCTCACTCATCCTCATGGTTTAATAACGCATGCTCAGGCAGGCTTTTTCAGTTGGCAGAGGATCGGCTGTTTCACCAGATCCTCACCCAATCCTGCACCTCTCTACCTTATAGATGAGAAGACTAAAGCTCAGGGAAGTGAAGGGAATATTTTTGTCTTTTGCCTCCACCATAGCTATAGGTTTCCACCATAGCATCTCTATACCCAGGAGGGACTCTACACACACTGTGAAATGCAATTTTAAAAAATTCCTTTCATCCCAGTGTGGCTGCAGCATGCTTTTGGGGTTGCGAATAGGGCATGGAGTCAGCAGAGGACAGAAATACACTCCGGTTGGGACCATTCTTGGAGGGCCCCAAATGCAAGGCAAGGAGTGAGGATAGGCTTGCCCAGCAATGGCCAAAAGCCAAGAGCAGGCATGGAGCTGGGATCTGGTATTTCAGTCCCAAGTAAGATGTGATTAAAGAGTTTATGCAAAGGGTTTTAGTTACTTAGAAGAATTCCTTGGTCTGTAATTAGCTATGTCTGTTCTGTCTCCTTCACTAAAATGGAAGCTCACCAAAGTTGGAACTGAACTTCCTATCCAATCGCTCACGCCCTGCGTGCCAGGACTGTACTAAGGTGGGGGCACAGGAGTGCACACGACCTGTGGTAAAGGTGAGGCACACAAATCCAGTGACGGCACAGATAATATGTGGACACTCTATAAAGAAGAGGTATGTGATGCTATGAGAACAAATGACAAGGGAACCTGGTCTAGTTGGTGGGGTGAGGGGCAGTGAGCAACGTGATATCTACGCTGGAACCTGAAGGATGAATAGCATTGGCCTGCGGAAGTGACTGAGCCTTCCCAGCAGAAGAAATAGTGTGCAAATGTCCTTTAGTAGGAAAAAATGTGGCTTGTTGGAAGGGTTGGGAGGGGGCCAGAACTCCAATAATGTAGCTCTCCTCTTTCCTGTTCCACTTTCTTCCCCCTGGCACCAGAAAAGTCTCTGAGTACTAGGCCCTTAGGTACAGGGGGAAAAATTTAGGTAGCACATATGACCAGAGCAAAAATCACCTCTCTGGTGCGTCCTTACGTAATTAAATGGGAAAGCTTTGGGGTGAGGAATCTACCGTGACCAACTGAAGGGACTGAGCAGCAGCTGGGAGGGGCAGAGAGAATGGAGGTGAACTTGGGAATTCTTTGTTCTTCCTGGGAAAGGGTAAGAGCCTTGCGTATAGACGGATGACTCAAGCCAGAGAGTGGTATGGGTGAGGGGTCCTTGCCCAGACACTCTCAGGGCCAAGAGCGTCACCCTAAAGCCTAGAGCTCAGGAACCCCAACATGGTTCCCTTCCGTCCCCCCTTGGGGCCTTTATTCATCTAACCATCATTTTCTGAGCACCCCCTGTGACCTCTGCCCTCTGCTGGGTACAGGCATCAACCAGGCCCGGTTTCCCCAAGGAGGGAGCAAACTCAGGCAGAAATAACTGCCATATGGGATAACTTACAGCCTAGCCCAGGCTTCTCATCTGTAAAATGGAGGCACAGAACAGAAGCTACTCTGGAGTGTTGATGCACGGATGAAGCGCTTATCACAGCATTACCCTGGGGCAGGGTAATGGTTGGTAGAGAGAATGTCTTAGAAAGGCCAGGAGCCCCAAGAAGGAGGATGGTTCTGGGTGTGGGCAGGTCAGGTTAGGGAAGAAACATGGAAAATGACCCGCTCCCGGTGGCTTTGAGACCCTGCCCACCACCTCACCCCATACTCTCCATACTGGTTCCCCGCCTGCCTTCTTCTCTTCCTGGCCTCCTTTTATTCTCTCTGATCACGCTGTCTTTGCACATGTGGACATGTGGTTGCTTTGTCTGGAATCTTCTTTCCTGGTTTCTTCCCTAAGTTAGTTACTCCCCAAAGTTCACATCTCACCTTAAGTGTTATTTCCTCAGGGAGGTTGCCCTGACCTCTGGGTTTTGTAGGCCCTACGCCAGGAAAGCCTTGCTTTCGTTCACTTTCCTCAGTTTGTAGCTATATCTTCATTGGTGTGATTTTAGGAGTGTTGTCTCTCCTCCTCTGGGCTGTGAGCCCCATGAAGTAGGGGTCACTTCTGGTTTTGGGCACTAGCAGATTCCCAAAAGTTTCCTGCTCTCATACGCTTCATCCCCTCCAAAATCTGTTGAGTGAATGAATGGGGTGCAAGCAAATCACGGATAATGATGCTTATTGATGGAGTATTTACTGTGTGCCCGGCACTGAGCTAAATTCTTGACTCTCACTATCTTAATCTCCTCAACCACGCTCTGAGCCAGGTGGTGTGATTATCCTCATTTTACAGATGAGGATAATGAAATTGAGAGGTTAAGTGTCACACTCAAGGTCACTATTTGTTAATGCAGGATTCACCTTCAGCTCCTCCGGTCTCCAAAGCACCAAAGGGGTGGGTGTGTGGGTGGGAGGGGTGGGGGCAGCGAGTCCAGGCTGGGTGGTGTACACCCAAGACCGCAGAGCGTCTCTAGGGAGGGATTGGGAAGCTTCCTCGGCCCAGCTCCAAGCCAGTGGTGCAGCACCCGCCCCCGGTCTCGGGCGCAGACTGGAGGCTGCCTCCGGGCCACGTGGTGCGCGCGGCGGGCGCGTCCGAGGAGCCCGCAGCGGCTCCCAGCTCAGAGTGCTCGGGGCAAGGAGAGCGGGCGGGAGACCGCCGGGGAAGGGCCGGTGCGGGCGGAGAGGCGGGCGAAGGACGCGCGGAGGGAGCAAGGCGGCCAGGGCGCTATAGCCGGCGGCGTCGGGGGCTCGGTCTCGGCCTCGGCCCCGGCCCTTGGCGCGCTCCTCGACCCTGCTCTCTGCGCCCTGGGCGCACGGTGGAGAGGAACGCGCCCGGCCGCCATGGAGTCGGCCCCCTCCACCAACGCCGAGCTGCAGTCCCCGCTCCTTGCCACCGCTTCGGACGCCTTCCCTAGCGCCTTCCCCAGCGCTGGCACCAATGCGTCGGGGCAGCCGGGGGTCCGCAGCGCCTCGTCCCTCGCCCTGGCCATCGCCATCACCGCTCTGTACTCAGCAGTGTGCGCTGTGGGGCTGCTGGGCAACGTGCTCGTCATGTTCGGCATCGTCCGGTGAGTCCGCTGCCGAGTGGCGCCACGGGCGTGGGCCCGGGGGAGTGTAGGGACTGCGAACTTGGGACCCTGACCTCGGACCCCAGACTGCCCGGGTCTCCGTACTTCCTGCAGGGGGCGCATGGGGCCAAGCGGGAAGACCACTTCCATTGAGAGGAGGACGCCGGAATTTGCACTGTATCTCCGTGTGCGTTGCGTGTATGTGTGTTTGTGGGTGTTTAAATAACATTTGATCATCCGTTGGCATTCCCTTGCTTCTGCATCAGGCTATGTGGGACAGTTTGGCAACAGTTTGTGTATCTGCCAGTTTGTGAGTGGGTTGACTCTGTGTTTGTGACAGTACAAATGCACTGTTTGTTTGGACCTCTGAAAGCCATACGGGTGGGCAGAGATGGCTGAGGTGCCATGCGCCTCTGGGGAAACAGGCTGTGTATGGGCTGGCTCTGCAGGTGGGGCGACAGGAGTGTGTGTGCGTGCTCTCCATGCTGTAGGGGCACTGAGCAAATCACATTTGGTGATCACCTGTGGGGCTCCCTGTGTTGGTGTATGCTTGTCCCACACTGTCAGTTTGTGATTCCCTCTGTATGAGAATGTGACAATGTGTTGTTTCTTGTCAAAACCCTGAAACTCTAGAGGGAGGGGAGCATCCAGACTGGCCTTGGACACTTGGGTTTGTGCACTTGTGCGTGTTTGTCTATGGAGAGCCCGCGGTTCCTGAGTACAGTGGGCATCAACTGTGGCATCAGCCAGTCAGGCCTTTGCTCCTGTCCCCAGTGGCCATCTGGCCAAGAGCTCCGGATGTGATGTTGAGAGGCCCCAGATCCTCTCAATGTCCTTCCCGTTCACAAATGCCCTTCCTGTTTTCTCCCCCTCTCCTCTAATAGTCCTGCCGTCCCCCACCGGACCCGTCCCCCCGCCCCCCGCCCCAAGCAGCAGTGGTTTGCTTGGGCTGGAGTTTGTACTTGCACGTCAGGAAGTGAAGCTCTCTTCTTGGCATCTATGGACCTCTCAGAGAGTCTGAAACATCATTGGCTTGCCCAGCAGCAGCCCTCCAACCCAGCTGTACCAGTTCAGATATGGGCAAAAGGATTGAAAGGAAATTCCTATTCTTATAACAACAAAGATGCCCTGGAGTTTACTGCTAGTTGAAAATGAGTCCCCTGTGCTGGTTGATCGAGGGCACCGCCCTAACCTCTCTGGGCTGTGGTGCCACCAGGTGGGGCAGGGGGAGATGGTGGACTCTGAAGTTGGGGATGTGAACGGTGGTCTCCGCCCAGTCACTGATGCCCATTAGAGTGAGAGCAACCGGTCCCCCTGCCCCACCTCCCACCTGCCTCAGTTCCTCTGTCTGAAGGAGAGAGGCTCAGTCTCCGCACTGGGAAGCACGGCGTTTCTGCGGGGTAGAGCACAAAGCGCTGGGATACAGCTTCGGGTGGTGTGTGGGCATTGAGGGGCTCTGGCATCCATGATCTCTGGGGGATCTTTGCTCCCCCAGGAAGAGTGGAAGACATGAGAATTTCCTGTGTTTTCAATGACTCAAATTTGTGTTTTCAAATTTGCCCAGCTACCATGGGCAAATTTCCCCAAGCACAGGCAGCGTTGATCTTTGCTTTGCTTTTTTGTCAGCGATCCTCCTGATTTTGCCTTTGGAGATAGTGTAGGGTTTAGGGTTGGGCCAACCCGCATGTGTATTAATCCCAGCTCTACCATGAACTGGCTTTGGGACTTGGGTAAGTCACTTAGTCTCTTTGAGCCTCACTTTCTCCATCTATGGAATGGGGTAATATAGGACCTTCTCCAACAGGGTTTCTGTGAGGTGTCAATGAGAGAGCATATACAGTGCAGCTGGCCTGATGCCTGGTCCCAGTAAGTGGGACCTATCTGTGTGATGAAGAGGAGGAATTTTCCAGAGTGAAGGAGGCACATGTCCTAAGGTGGGCCTGACAGTAGCTACTGTCCTGAGAGTTCCAGGGTCCTGGTATATACACCCTCCTGGGGAGCCCTTGGTGCTCTGGCCTGGGGAAGGCGGAGCGTCAGTGCATTCAGTCCCATTTCCAGCGCCTCTGGCTGGCAGGCTGATGAGCGCAGTGCCCCCACTGCCATTGAGCTAGGGGAAGGCCTCTCATTTCTGAACCCCTGGGCTCAGCCTGCTAGGGGCACTCCCAAGCAACCTTCCGCAAATTGTGTTCTCAGATGCATCTTGCCAGCAGTGTAGCAAAGCCCCCAGGGGTCCCCACTTTGCTAAGGCATTTCCCTGGCCAACTATCTGTGTGATAACTGTCTCTCTGGGTCTGAATGACTTAATCCTCACCCAGCTCCCTGTTGGGTAAGCATTAGAATCCTTATCGTCAAACCTATTTTACAGATGAGGAATCTGTGGTTCAGAGAGAGGCAGGGTGACTTCTTCTCCTGAAGGCCCAGGTCTAGGCTAGACCTGGAGCTATAAACCCTGGTCTTATGACTCCAAGTCCAGAACTTTTTTCAGAGCTACCTGGGATAGGGGACAGTCAAAGAAGTGCATGGAAGGGGGGGGCAGAATCCTGTCCCTCCTCTTGTCCTAGAATCCTCAGAGAATGAAGGAGCCTATGCATTATTTGGCCCATGTATTTTAGGCTGCTGTCTTTGCAGAGAGGAGGAATGAGGGAGGCTCAAAGTTAGTCCTTCCCCACCAAGAGGGAGACTGGGGACAAGGAGCTGCCTGGGGCTCAGCTTTTGCTGGTAAAGTCCCAAGAGTAGTGGGAAGAGGGGAGCCCAGGACAGACAAAAGCTTCTGCTCTGTCTGTCTCTCTGGCCCCCCATGTGGGGCCTGGCACAACCAATAAGTGAGTCAGTTGATTGGTTGGATGAATGAATGAACGAATGAATGAATGAATTCTGCTTGTCAATCTTGAGCTTAGGCAGTTTGGGAGGAAGGTTTGCAAGAGACTATCCAGAAGACCGTTGGGGCAGGAAAGCAGCGTGGTATAGTATTAGAGCTGGGGCTCTGAAACCAGACATATCTAAGTTCAAATCCTGAGTTTGAAGCCATGTACTTGCTGTCTATCTGGGCTAGTGACTTCACCTCTGAAGTTCATTTCTTTGCCTGTAAAGTGGGAACACAATGCATCCTCTGTTGTGAGGATTAAATGTGGTAATGTGTTGTATCTGAGCCTTTCTAGCTCTTTGAGAACAGGGAGGGTCTCTTTGTGAAGGGATGAAAAGAGTTAACTAATTCAAGAAAATTCTATGGCGGCTCTGTGCTGGATGCTGAGATGAGGAGATGGAGAGGAAAAAAAATACACGGCCCCTGCCCTTATGGAGTTTAGAGTCTGGTGGAAGAATCAACATTCATTGGCCAGTCATCTCACAAGCTTAAATTTGTAGCTGTTGAAGAATCTACAGGGGCTTTGGGAGCCCACGACGGCGGGAGGGTCTGATCTGGGCGGGGGAACTCAGCGGAGGCCTCTGAGGAGCTGATGGATGAGGAAGGGGTAACTGAGTAAAAAGCTGAGGGAGGAGCTTGTGATGGGAAGAGGACAGAGATGAGGTGCTGAAAAACAAGAACACAGGGATCTCAGAATCTGACATCACGAAGCACTCTCCATTCCTTTCCCTCCCACATCCTGGGCCTCTCCCCACTTCATGGGCCTGCCTGAGAGGCCCACTCATCCTTCTGGAGGCAGGGGGGCGCCTCTGGGAATTACATTTTTAGCAAACAGCCTGTGGTTCTTGAAGTATGAGCAGGATTTTTCAAGACATCTGGTCCCCAAGCGGAGCATCACTCCCTGGTCCTGTGATGTGAGCTCGGCTGGCCTGGTCGGGGACTCTGTGGGTCCTCAGAGCAGATGCTAGACAGCCCCCCGTTTCTGGGTGGCGTCAGCGCCTGACAGGCATCTCAGCATTCCCTGTGGCAGCCCTCTAGGCAAGATGGAGTGTGAAGTGCATAGGGGGAGCCCTCCCTGTCCCTCCTCCACCCCTTTTCTGACACGTCCCTCCATCATCCCTCTACATGGCCCGGGTCTTCCTGGTCTGCCTGCCCCAGGATCCAGGTAGGTGGATGGAGTCTGTGCTTTTCCACTTGGCCTCTTGTCAGTTCCACAGCCCGCTCTGTTTCCCCACCTCCACCTCTCCCTGATCCTGGTTTCGGCAGATTCGCAGCCTGCTGTGTCTCTTGCCACTCCAACTCCACCCTCACCACGCCCCCCTGTTGCTCTTGATTCTGTCTTAGGCTCTGCTTCTCTGCCCCTTGATCTCTCCCTCAGCTCCCGTCTCTTTGTGTTAAATGCTGGCTCTGCCACCTAGTGAGATCCTTTAGCAAGCTGGGTGGCCACTCTGCATCTCAGTTTCTTCATTTGTAAAATGTAGATTATAGTACATGCCTCTCGGGCACCTTTGTCCTAAAGATAAGATGATGTTGATAAAGCATGTGTTTTCCCTCCCATCCCAGGTGACTGTAGCCCAGAGCTGGGAGGGGAGGCTGAGCCAGGCCGCATGGGCTGCGGCAGATTGCGACTGGTTCCAGTTGTCCCCTCTGTCTACTACCAAGGTGCTAGGCATTGCTGGGAGGTGCTCAGGTGTCAGCTTTTCAGGACTGGGAGCTCTGAGTCCCTGTTATGATTCTGGGGGCCCAGCATAAACTCCTTGCCTCTTGTCTCCCTCCCCTCTCTTGTGGCCTGGTTGGGGTCCACAGACCCAGTGTCCCTAGTCCAGGAGAGATCCCAGGGAGGAGGTGACACAGTGCAGTCCTGAAGGTCACAGCTGGAGTTCGGGTAGTGCCCCATCTCAGTCCCAGTTAAATCACATCCTGGGCAAACAGCCTGACTGCCCTGAGCCTCACTGTAAAATTGGGGTGATCATCGTAGATCACTGGGAGGGTTAGGGAGCTCACGCATGTGAAAGGCCGCACCCAGGCACCGGCCCCTTGTAAGCCCTCAGTTAACCAGCACCCTTGCGGCTGCAGCGCTTCGCGCCCTTGCCTGCTTCCTGTGTCATCTACACACTTACTCACTCAACGAGCATTT